CCCCTAATTTCCAATTATTTATTGATATTCTTCTAACATTTAAAAATGAAAATATTATTATTTACAGGGCCATTCAATTTTGATGCAGCAAAGCAAGAAGGGGGATTGCCAACTTTGCATCACAATCCCTATAGTTGGTCTAAGGTAATTATATATTCAATATCATTTTTCTCCACTAAATTAATGCAAACTCAATCATCAATATATAAATTTAATTAAAAAGGTATCGAGCATTATCTATTTGGATTCTCCGGCTGGTGTTGGATTCTCATATTCTGATAACACATCCTTGTACAAAACCGGAGACATACAGACAGCATATGATACTCACCTTTTTCTCCTCAAGGTAAACATAACATAATAAATAATTATTCATGCACAACACATTAGTTGAGAATTACTTCAATTTTTCTTGGTGTTCTCTTAATTTCTAGTGGTTCGAGCAATTTCCGGAGTTCACTGGAAATGAGTTTTACATTGCTGGGGAGTCATATGCTGGGGTTTATGTCCCTACTCTTGCTTCTGTGGTTGACAAAGGTGGTACATAATTAATGGTAGAAGACAACATTGTGTCCAATTATCTTACTAATGAATTTATGGTTGTAGGGATCAGAACTGGGGTAAAACCTGTTATCAAATTTAAGGTACATTCCTATGCCTATGCCTGTGCCTGGTCTGCCTCTCAGAATTTCTGCTTCATTTATGCATTTGATGTGACGCAGGGTTACATGGTTGGAAATGGGGTATGTGATCCTAGATTTGATTCTGACGATGCTCTTGTCCCATTCGCACATGGGATGGGCCTAATCTCAGATCATATGTATAAGGTGGGCATCATCGAGATAAATTTTGTTTGCATTAGTGACATAAGAAAGAACAAGAATCGCACTTGAAAATTCAAACTTGAAGATTCGCTCACGAATGTCAAGAAAGGGAGAGTGGGGAAAAAACTCCTCGCTGAACTTTTGTTTTAGAAAATATTGACTGATATTAAAGCTTACAGTCCTTATTTAAAGTAAGATAATGACGATAATTAAAAGCCTTAACCTTTAGATGAATTTGCTAATTGAATTCGGGATAATGATATACCCAAAAAAGGGAAAAAAAGGTGTTTATGGATGTTAGCCAAAAAAATGTTGTAAATTAGGGGAAAGCCCCTGAATTTTGCTCGTCAGGCCGTTTTCACTCAAATTTTTTCAAAAACGGACAATCAAAAAAATTATTTATCTATGCCGATTCCAATTTTCCATGAAATCTTCTTCTTTTTGTACGGCGTCAATTAGTTAGTACAAATGCTTTGCACACATTTGGTATTGAGTTGCAAAATCATGTTTAATGGTGATTATTACAGGCAGCAGAAGTTGCATGCAAGGGAAACTACCACAACTACACCAACAGCGATGAGTGTGATTCAGCATTAAGTAAGATCTACAGGGTATTAAGCCACCTAACTCTTTTGACTTGATTAAATTTATTTAAGTAGTAAATGCAACTAGCAAAAAAACCATATTCTCAATTTGCTATGGTTTTTGTCGTGCAGGCTTTAGATGGTTTAAACCGATATGATATCCTCGAGCCTTGCTACCATAGCCATGCAGGAGTACAAGGAAATAAGAGTAATGAGTTGCCTGAAAGCTTCAAGCAATTGGGAATGTCATCTGATAAACCACTTCCGGTTAGAAAAAGAATGTTTGGTCGGGCTTGGCCTTTTCGAGCACCGGTCAAAGGTGGACTTATTCCTTTGTGGCCGCAATTAATGGAGAGCGGTGGTGTTCAATGCACAGTAAGTACCGAAACAAATTCAATATCAATAAATTTAAGGTCCACTTCATGATCGGTCATTTATCGTTGGATCTACTAAAAGATCTAAAGCGACTGAATAATAAGTTTATTGTTCAAATCGATGCAAGATGATACAGTAGCAACTGTATGGCTGAATAACAAGGAAGTTAGAAAGGCAATTCATGCTAATCCGGTAAGTATGCAAATACCAATTATAATTAGAAACTAAATAAAAGTTGAATTAATTAATCTATTTTTAATTTTGATAATTAAGGAGAGTGGAGAATGGGGACTATGCTCAGATAATCTAAGCTATAATAATGATGCTGGAAGCATGCTAAGCTACCACAAAAACTTGACTGCCAGTGGATACAGGATACTCATATATAGGTACGCAAACAAATTATCCTTTCAGTTTCCTTTCAAGTATTTTTATGTGATTGCAAATTAATTAATTTGTTTGGCTCAGTGGAGATCATGACATGTGTATCCCTTTTACTGGAACACAAGCGTGGACGGAGTCACTCGAATACCAAATAATCGACGAATGGAGATCGTGGATATCTAATGATCAAATCGCTGGGTAACATACACACACACATATAATATGTTTGCACATTTATATTTACATAGACAAACTCGATATTAAAGTGTGTTAATCGTCATATGCAGATATATTCAGGGATATGCTAATGACTTCACATTTCTCACCATCAAGGTTTTTTTTTTTTTTTTTAAATGTGTATATTAGATTAATAACCATCTACAACCATAAAATCATAATTAATCAAAGATTTAACACAAGTTTCATTATTGTAATATAGGGAGCGGGACATACTGTACCTGAATACAAGCCACGAGAGTCGTTGGACTTTTATAGCCGGTGGCTAAAAGGCCAAAAAATATGAAGTGATTGCGAAAAGGAAAATAGCATGGAGTTGATGCTTAATTTTCAACAATTATATCTGACAACGAGAAACATCTTTTCATGATATCTATAAGTCATGAAGAAATAAAAATTATTAAAAAATCCCAAAACAATAGTTCTTTAAAATTTGGTATTCATCATTGTTGGAGGAAGTGTCATTTTAATTTTAATTTTTTTTGAAGTAATCTAACTATACATTCTTGACTTAAATCAAGTAATATTAAATCGTATTGGACGACACAATATACAATATT